ACCCCGCAGCCTCTCAGCAAACGAGTCCGCCGTCTTTGCGCCTTCAGCCCCAGGGAACTCGAGGACTCGAGCTCCCGTCTGGGCGAGGCGCATCCTGACCCCCACCGTTCCAAAATCGTTGGCGAGGCTGTCCCGGGCCTTTTTGAAAACGGCCGCGTAGGACAGCCCGCCGTCCGCCGCCTCCGGGGACACGGTCACCACTACAGCCGCGGTTTTGGGCGGCTGCAGCTTCCGCGGCCTCTTTGTGGAGGCCGTTGCCACCGGTGGCGAAGGCTGGGCTTGGGCTGCTTTTTTGGCAGCCTTTTTGGCCCGCCTTCGGGACTTCTTGGAGCCCCTCGCCTCCTGCCAACCCTCGTTGGAGGGGGCAGGTGCGGAGGGGCCCGGCAGGGGTGTCGGAGTGGGGAGCGGAGGGAATGCCACTCCGCTCCTCGGCGCTGTTCTAGGCCCCGTCTTGGCCGGCGCCTGGGGATGCGCCCTGGCCGGCGCCTTAGCCGGTGCCTTGGCCGGCGCCTGGGCCGGTGCCTTGGCCCCCCTCCTCGGCTTTTGTGGAGCCGATGGAGTAGGGGCAGACGCCGCCGCCGCGTAAGAAACGCGGCCTCCCACAACGGGGAGCGCGGTCGGAGCGGCGGCCTTAGGCCGCTGTGCCGACGCGAGCGGGGGGCGCATAATCGGCGCAGGAGGCAATCTCGCCTCCAGGCCAGCCAGGCGTCCGTCCAGCATATTCCCAACTGCGATGAGGATTTCTCGCAGTTGGGAGTCAAATGCCCCTGAGTTGGTGGTAGGGGCAGGCTGGGACGCGGACGGGGCTTCCCGCTCGGGGAGGTTCGCCTGGAAGCGGGCGAACTGAGCGCTCAGCTCGTTCACCCGCTCCGTCAGCTTCTCGTTGGCCACCTGCAGGCGAGAGACGTCGCCCGCTAGGCCCTCCACGACCTCCGACAAAGCGGAGGAGGAGTCCTTAAGGGCCCTCACAAACGAGCCCTTAAGGTTCACGGATTTGGTGGCCACCTTGTTGATGACGGCCACCGCCGCTTTCGCCCTCTCCTGCACGGACACGGGAGCCTGGGGGGCATTTCCCCCCACCGGCTCCCGAACCTTGAGCAGGAGATCCGCGATCTCCTCCTCCGCTACGGCCTCGCCGTCCACCCGTACACTTCTGTAGGACTCCGCGTTTGAGAACGCGGAGCCTGACGGGGTCGAGACCGAGGCCGAGGCCGGTTTACGTTGCCTCCCTCGGCGGCTGCTTGCCACCTTTGGTGGCATCATTTCTTGGGACGTATCCGTTTCCTCGTCCCTGGAGCGTCCGCGTTTCCGGCTGTCGCTTCGTTCCGCCTCCATGGCCTCCGCGCCATCCGACGAAGCGGCGGATCCGGAACGCAGCCGATCCGATGCTCTTCGGCTCCCAGTGACCAGAGTCAGACTGACCTCTGGGAGCCCCATCGAGATAGGCGTTCCCGACACCATCTCGCCCTCAGTGGACGACCCATCCGCTCCACTGTTCTGCTTGTCCTTCCTTCCTTTTGCTTTCATGTCCTTTAGGCTTGCCTTTTTCGTTTGTATGTTGGTTCCGATCGTTTTTTTAATTTGTTGTAAATCATCCATAATAATCCCACGAGTGGGGGAGAACTAGAGGTCCACCCGGGCAGAGATCCCCCATTACCCGGGCAAGCGTAAGTTTTTAACCCAACCGAGGGGTCCGCAGGTACCTCGGCTTGGAGTGCGCTCGCGACTGAACTTCCCATCAGCCATGCATCCCCTGGCCACGCACCAGAACACGGGATTCGGGGAATTTTTTAGAGAGGTTATCTTCCTCGCGGTCCGGGCGGTTAAGCCAAGACCCTCGCCCCCGATCAGAGCCGCGAGACTTAACCACAGCGCTCTTCTCGGGATTACGATATGCCGACGGTTGACAGGGAGACTACGTCCCCCTGCCTGCTCGGTGGTAGTGTGAGTACACGCCGAGCCCGTCCTCCTTTCTCCACCGCTGTCAGCGGAGAAACTGTGGCCCCTACAGGGCCCCGCCATCAGGTTTTTTACCGAGGTTTCCTCCTCCATGCTCCGAAGAGCGAAGAGCCAGCAGGGCAACCGGCAGACACGCCCACCCTGCTGGACCAGGCCTTGCCCGAGAGCCGATGAACGGCTGCCTCTTCTGCTAGAATATTGGCCGCTGGCGATAATCCTCTCCTCCAAGAGGACAAGGAGGGAACAGTACCATCGCCAGCGTTTCCAGGGTGCACCACGAGGAGGTTTTCTAGCCCAGCACCCCAAACCCTATACCAACCCGTCTGGCCAGCGTGGTATAGTAGGCCAAAACCTCCTTTCTAAGGAGAGGCCTATGTCCAGCAGTGGACTATTATAGGCTGTTGATGATTAATACGTATGTATTTAGAAATATTTAAGAATGTTAATCACCAGTCTGGTTACCATAGTACAGGCTCTACATAGTTTGGGAGCAGACGGCCGTGTGTGAGATGTGTGCAGTTATCATTATTATTCGGATCAGAAAGACTGTTGTTAGACTGATGACTGCACGGATGGCGTAGTGGTTTAAGCGGTCATCTCGCCGCTTTCTACTGCGCTGAGTGCTGTGGGTTCGATACCCGCATGGAACAACACTTTGTGTGAAAAACAAATTGTTGTTCTGAGTCTGGGTGTTCTTTGTGTCCGTTCAGTGTAAGTTGGTAAAGTCTTCCGCGACACTGGAATATATTCCTAATGAGGAAGTTGTTTAGTTTTTTATAAATAAAAATACAAAAGACGGTTACTTCGACGGTTATCAAACGGCTGCGAGTGAGGTATCTTAAATTGTTATTGTTATTGAAGCTGTAACTTACTTTTATCTCATATACTATCTGCAAATATACAGAAGTTAATAGATAAAAATTTCAATACGACCCATCCAAACTTGGATTATGATGGAAACATTGATATATAAGATTTATCTTGACACCACTTATCCTTTCCCAAGACGGCGCGGGCGCAGATAAGGCTGACTTTGATTGAGCGATCCATCGTTATGCTTGAACTCAAATCGCTCATTAAATCCAGCAGAGTTCAAGCGTAATGACACAGAAGAATTAGTCATACTGTACAAAGTATGGTTCTATTCTTTGTCTAATATCTGATAATTGGTTAATACTTGCTAAATATAACATACTATTAAAAAACCCCCGACACAAAAAAAAAACAGCATTAAGCCCAAACATGGTATTTATGCTGTAATTTTCTGAGGAGTTGGCTATCCCGCAGACTACTTGATGCAGCAGCCATCAAAGGAACAGTACGCCAAGCATGAAAAAACATATTATTTTGACAAAACAAACAGACACCTCAATTTTATTTATTTGTATAGATTGCCTCTTTTTTTCTAGAACGACTAAATATTCTCTACATTTTCCAAAAAGCATTTTCGTTACTATTTAAATAAAAAAGTAATGTGAAAATTGAAAATGGAAAGTGTTCAGTGAAGGATATAGATTACCAACTTAAAAATTATAATATTTTCTTCTTAACAGCAAATAGATTTTTAACATACAAATAACCAAAATAGGAGGTAAAATAAAAAAAATCGCGGCAATCTACCGAAAAGGTCCCGAACGCAGTTTTAAAAGCAAAAAGTTCCGAATACGGCTTGGAAACAATGAGATGTAAAAATTAAAATTTCTTACACAACACTGCTTATTTCAAAAAAATACGTAAAAAATACGATAACTGGAATCGATAAATAAGCCCATTGATGGTTTAGGTCACTACCCCGTCATGAGTTAACATTAACTGCGATAACGCGGCGCTGATATTTTATTTTGGCTAAGTTACAGATAATGGCAAAATTATTTAAATAAAAGCTCTATACTTAAAAAAGACTAATGATCAAATTAAAGGTGTTTCTCAAAATGTTTGTATTTTTTTTGTGTTTTTCCTAAGAACTTATTCATTTATGAACCAATTTAAAATCCTCTTTTTTTAGTTGAGAGAGTACCCTTTTCGTTTGGTTCCATGAAAAAAATACCCTTCCGACCCTACCTCGTGGTTGGAAAATTTAACATCATCATCATCAGCCTTTAGTAGTCCACTGCTGGGCACAGGCCTCTACTTAGAAAGGAGGTTTTGGCCTATTATACCACGCTAGCCAGACGGGTTGGCACAGGGTTTGTGTCAAGTTTTCCTTTTCTTTGCAGTGCTCTTACGACACCCATTGAATGAATAGGTGGTACCACTCTGTATTCTTATTCCATCACCATACTACAAACACGGATGAAATGACGAAAATGATGAAATCCTGGTTTTAAAACCCATGGTACTGGTCTGTTTAGTTTTACTATTGCATTCCCTTATTTATCTGCCATTCCTTTAACATTCACTTAATGTTCTCTTAAGTGTCTGGAAAAGGCAATAAATAGTGTTATATTACTTAAGTGGGACTAAAATGACAAATAATGGCAGAACGTGGGCCTTTAATAAGTCTCTGCTTACCAGTGCGGGGAGATAGGTATCAGTGCATGTATGTATGTTTGGGTAAATCTGAGCCTAAACATGTTATCGTATTTTTTTACGTATTTTTTTGAGATAAGCAGTGTTATGTAAAAAATATTGATAAGGAAATTTAAATTTTAACATTTTTTTGTCTCCAAACTTTTTTGGTTTTAAAACTACGTTCGGTACTTTTTGGTAGATTGCCGCCTTTTTTTTGTTCCTAGTTTCATTTATTTATTTATTAACTACTGCCGCCGTATGCGACTGCTGTACTGAGGTATCAAGTTCGATTCCCGGGTTGGACCAAATGTTTAATGATATGCAAATATTTGTTTCGGAGTTTGGGTGTTTTCGATGCATAATATGGATGATTTTACAAAAACTAAAGTTTATAAGTATTCTATCAGTCAATCTAGCTTTCATAGTACAAGCTCTGCTTAGTTTGAAACTAAATGAAGTTGTGTGTCAGATGTTCGAAAATATTATTATTATTATTTTAATAATCAAACTTCATTATTTTTATGTTCTAGTGTCCCTGGTATCTTCTATTCTGGCTATCGGAGCAGCTTTAGCCGCTCTACCAGTTGGTGTGCTGACGCAGAAGATCGGTAGACGGCCTACTATCCTCATCTTGGCCATACCATTCACCATTAATTGGCTATTGACCATATTTGCCAATGGTGCTGGAATGCTGATCGCTGCAAGATTTTTCGCTGGATTGGGCACTGGTAAGACCTTACTCAACAAGTTTACAATCACTTTAACGATTAGGAAAGCTAATGAACATTGAACAATTAAATTATAACTAAAGAAACTTTCGATTAAACCACCTTTTAAATAAAATCAATGAATCATAATCGGTCTGTCTGTTTAGGCCAAATTATAGTGCCACACAGAAACACTGTATAACACAAACAAACAGATACATGCGTGTTTTAATTTATGATTGATTACGATAGTCGAACAAGTGAGCTTATTAATGTCAGTTAAATGAAAGAATAAGAAAATAAAATATTTTATTTACTTCAGTCAAGTACTTCTCCAAAAAATTGTGTTATTAATAGAAATTGAATAGTCGGAAGATAGGTTCACAACTAGCTTTCCTGTTGGAAGTTAGATAACCTAGTTTCTTCCAAGGTGCCTAATTTAACTGGGAAAAATCTCAAATGCAAGAGAGAGTTTGTTACAGCGAATGATTAAGAAAATAAATGAAAGCGCGTACGAGAAAAAATATCAATTAAAACAAAAGAAACTTTAGGTAATTCCTAATGCTTCATGACAAATCAATCAATAAACTAAAGATTTCACAAAAAAAAAACAAATAAGTAGGTTAATTACAACGGATGGTCGGCATGTATAACTAGTATACATATATTATTTAATTAATGAGTATGAAATACAGGGAGTTCATAAACGCCCCCCAAAATAAGACAGACGATGGTACTACTGATACTTTTGATGATGGGTCCGACATTTTGTCTCATTTCATCATCATTATTCGCATTTCATTATGGTACTATAACTAAATAATACGATAATTTCATTAAAAATATATAACATAATAAAAAACAATGAAAATGAAAGCAAACAGCTGATCGGGAAGTAAGGACTGCAGGGATGGCGTAGTAGTTTAAGCGGTCGCCACGCCGCTTCCTACTACGCCGAGTGTTGTAGGTTCAAACCCCACATGGGACGACACTTTGTGTGATTCTTTGAGTCTCGATCACTTTGTGAGATTCTTGAGTCTGGGTGTTTTTTGTGTCCGTTTCACGTATGTTTGTAAAGTACCCAGCGACACACGATATATTCCTAATGCGGGAGTCGTCTTATAAAAAAAAAGCGGTTAGCGTTTAGCGGTTTAGGTATAACAAGGAGAAACCACAATGCAATATAATTCTCTTTGATTTAACACTTAAGTACTATATCTGATTATACATTTTATACAAAATTACTTGGGAAATGAACTCAGAATCACCTTTGGTTAGATATCATTAACCATGAACCCATTTTTACTCTCCAGGTGGTATCTGTGTAGCTGCTCCAATGTACATCGGTGAAATTGCCGAGACTTCCATTCGAGGGTCCCTAGGGGCGTTTTTCCAACTTTTCCTGACTGTAGGAATTCTGTTCACGTATGTTGTTGGCGGCTGGACACACTGGAAGATCTTATCCATCATCTGTGCTGTTCTACCACCACTATTGGTCGTCGTGTTCTGGTAAGTTACTAAGACATATATTGCTGTAAGAATTGGGAGCTATATCTATGTATAAAAACAGTGGCACTCCGGGAATGCCGACAGAAGTGAAAACTTATATACTTATATACAGAGGTGTTCGTAACGGTAACGGTAACAGTATCGCGAGTTCAATTGTTTTTTTCCATCTCAAAAAATGCCCAACGAAAGAAGAATAAGTTTTCACTTCAACAGAGTTTTTCACTTCAACGGTTTTTTGCCATGAAATACGTTCTTTTGTTCGTTTTTCAAAAATTACCAACGCCCTGAAAGAAATTTTAACTTTAAAAACTGTTAAAAGGTATGGCATGGGGCAAACCAGCAGACGTATCACCTCGAGTCAAGTCGGTCAACTGTGTTGCCGCCCTTTAAGTCCCCCCTCCCAGAATTAGGGGAGGGGGAGGATTTCGGGTTCCGGTAACCTCACTCGGTGAAAAGCAACGCCATGGTATCACTCTAGTCGAGCCGGTCCATTTTTCTTTATCTTTCATTACCTATTCCTAATTACCTTGCCACATTCAATATATTCTCAATCTTACCATGTAAGGACCCCAATCTGTCCAGTTGACGTTCCATTTTCCAGTGAAATTGAAATTGCGTATTCTACTATAATTTCACTGGAAAATGGAACTGAATGTACAGAATGTACGGAATGTACAGAAGCTTATCCCATCGGATCTACAGGCGTGTGGATCATACATGCCTGTGGTTTGCGCCATGTAAAGTTTAAAGACCTAACTGTTCAGTATTTTTCTCTCTCCTATGTTTTTCAATCTTCGATTTTCTTTCTTTTTTATATTTAAGCAAAAGCTATAGACGGTTTTTGGTGCCATAAACTTTACTTTTATTTATAATGAATGAATATTGACCAAACTTAGACTAAAACCTCTGGGAGACCACTTGACCCAAAAAAATTGTAATCGTATGTTACAATTACCAACTTGCATGGTTTAAAAAAAATGAAAAAAAAAGATATTATCATATGTGTGTATAATTTACTTGAGATGTTACTGAGATACTTCAAATATTGATTTGACCTTTTAACCAACTATATTTATCGACACGTGAACTTTTACTGCGTGATGCAAGATTAGCAGTTTCTCCATATTTCGGTGTGTCTGCGATAGATGGTGCTGAATCATGTTTTTGATTGTATACGGAAGTCGACACAAGATAAAGGTTTCAGTCAGGTTTTCAGAAAGATTTCCAATCAGATGCTTAGAAGAATTCTTTCCATTTTCAGGTGGATGCCTGAAACTCCACAATACCTCTTGAGTAAGAACCGCAGACGTGATGCTGAAAACTCCCTGAGATGGCTACGAGGACCAGACGCAGACCTTACAGCTGAACTTGAGGATATGCAGAAAGATGTAAGTTTTTTGTACAAGTATTTATCTCATTTTATTAATCATTTTTTCAATTAACCCAAACCCAAAGTATTTATAATTTCTAATATCTCTTTTAACTTCGACTTACAGGTAGATGACGCAGCCCGTCAGAGCGCTGGCATCCTCAGCATGTTGACCAACCGCGGTCCTCTCATGGCCCTCATCATCGGCCTCGGTCTCATGCTCTTCCAGCAGTTCAGTGGTATCAACGCCGTCATCTTCTATACCAACGACATTTTCCACTCCGCTGGTTCAAATATCCCTCCAGTCATAGCCACGATTATCGTTGGTGTCGTCCAAACGATTGCTACTTACATTTCCTCTATCCTGGTGGATAAGGCTGGACGGAGAATTCTCCTCCTCCAAAGCTGTGTCGTCATGGGAATTTGTCTTATCATCCTAGGAATTTACTTCAAGCTGCAATTCGATGGATATCAGGTTGCCTCTTTGGGCTGGCTTCCTTTACTTTGCATGGTGTTGTTCATAATCTCATTCTCTATGGGTTTGGGGCCAATACCTTGGATGATGATGTCCGAGTTATACCCGGTTGAATTCAGAGGTGGGGCGACAGGATTCACTGTTATTGTGAACTGGGTTTTAGTGTTTATAGTGACACTATGCTTTCCTATAATGAAAACTGCTATAGGTATTTACAGTTGTTTCTGGTTCTTTGCTGCTTTCATGCTTTTGTGTGTCTTTTTCGTCTTTTTCTTGATTCCCGAGACTAAAGGTAAGACAGTGTCACAAATCCAAGCCATATTGGCGGGAAAAATTTGAGTATACCTGAATATTCTAGAAATTTCTACTGTATAATATTTTTTTATATATTTATGAAGGATTTGCCGATTTTGTGTAAATGATTTATTTGTATATATAAGTCAAATAATTAAAATGAAATACGATTTTAATAAAATCGAATATAAGAAGATATTTGTTGCTCAAAAACTATATAAAACTTTTTTTAGAAAGAAAAAATAAATACCAAAAAATGCGTGACCGAATTCAATATTTATATTATTCTTAAATATTGCTTTTCGTTGGAAAAAGCTTTGAATTGAATATAATTAAAAAGTATTTATATATTATAGTTTGTGCGACTGTGTGTAGTTGTGTGCCTATTTATACTATCGATAATTTATTTCTTAGTGTTTAGCTGGTCTATTTATTAATAGCATTTTAGGTTAAATACTGTATTTATTAATTTGACTGATATTGCACTCCCTTATTTATTATAAATGATTCTTCAATAAATGCTACAATTTAGTCAAGTCTACACGAGAATAATTTAATAATTTTGTTCATATTTCTTTCTACATTAAATATATGACAAGTACCAAAGATATTTGTTTTTATTATCTATTTTAATTGTTTTTATTATACAACATGATATTTATCATAGGACCACTCGTTTCTTCAAGATAAAATAATGTATATGAATATATGGACATGGAGTAATAAACAAATTCATGATTAAATAAAAAAAAAACTAGAAACTAATAATTAAAATCACTTTTTTTAATGTAATAATGATAAAATTATTAATTTACTAAAATTTATAATTCAACTTAATAGTGTCTAGAATCGCATGGCTTTTAAAGTCTGTCATAGCACTTGAGACACAGTTTTGCACCTATTATTACTGTAATTTACCGCCATGTCATATTAATTCAAAAAGTGGCACCAATTATATCGTAATAATATTCGTATCTATAGTTGCGAAGAAAATTAAGAGCTGTGTTTTCAGTGGTACGATAATTTTAAAAGGACAACATATGTTTTACGGACTGTGAACGTAAGTCGCAAAATAGTTTGACAGAACATGGGCTGTGTTAGTTTGTATAAAAACTCAGAGTTGCTAATTTGCCACATTTCATATTAAAGGCTTAGATAACGTCCACATGACGGGGGTTTGGCACGCATCGAACGCGCATTCGATTCTGTGTGTTCTGTGTTCACATAACTTAAATACAAAAATAAGAAGAGATATTTATTTTTTATCATTTTAGGTTTTTAGGTCATTTTAGGGTTTTTTGGAACGAATTTCCTTATCGCTAAATGTGTAACAAGACTTTTTTCCGACACTTCAGTGGCACGTCAACGCTTATCTTTTTCATATTTCAATAATTTGCATAGCAAACGTCTACCAAAAAGCGAAAGGAACTTCGTTCCGACCGGAGGTCGTATTTTTATTTAAGTTCTATATAAAAATAAACTGTTTGAAGTGAAATGATGAGTAACCGACTTCATTCTGTATATTCAAAAGTCGGTGTACGGCCTTTGAATTATTTGAATCATTTAACAGAGTCCTTTCTTTGAGTAAAGAGCGAAAGACATTGATTCGATGCACGTTACTAAAACGCGCGAGTAACGGCCGTCATCAGAATATACTCTAGGCAGCACACAGGATGTGTTAGGTTAAACTAAGATGAGAAGCCGCACGATTGGTTTTACTAATTAAAACACGACTATTAAAATGGCGATAAATTATTGTGTTTTAAACCGTATGTGATGTTATTGTTCTCTAGTTAGATTTATGGTGATGAGCGAAGTAACTATGAACAAAATGTATAATAATTTATTCAAAATGTATAAACAGAATAGAGGTCTTCCTTTAGGTATATGTCACATACTTTAGTATTGACTTGTTGTATTGTTTATGATGGCGTAGACGTTCTTGACGTCGTGGAATTCATTATCATTAGTAGTTAAAGTTTTATTTATTTCAAACTTTATGCACTTTTGTACATCGGCGGACTTAATGCCCAAGGCATTCTCTTCCAGTCAACCTTTGGGTGGTGTAGAAATCATATAAGGTGGTACACAGAGGTTACATATTATGACTTGTAATCAATGAAAATGTTTTAGGCATATTTTTTGCTATAAAAATATTTTTTTATAACACACCATTGTATTAATTTTTAATGGCACTTACCACAAACTTCACTTTGTTAAAGTGAGACAAAACATACACATCCATGCGTATTAATTGTAACTGGAAAGCAAGCAGATCGACCACTAGGATTAAATGTGCTTTAACATAAGCTAACAAAGTATCAACCATATCGTATCTTCTATTGTAGAGAAAAAGAATATGTAGGTATTAGTTTAAACGCGATTACGTCGAAATCGTCAAAACGCGCGACTATCGCAAATGTATCGTACCACCATTTTAATTTGAAACCTCGTAAGGCACCTTTCACATTATTCCCAGGGGTCTTAGACGTTTTATATTAAAGCATTATGTTTATACATTTTAATAAATTTATTTTTTAAGACGAAATGTGCCAAATGATTGATTATGTATCAATTTTTATATGTAAGTGGTCGTTGTTAACATTATAATATATTTTTAATATTTAATGAAATATAATTTAGAATAATAAATGATAGAATGTTATGGATTTGTTTTATTTTAGATTTTGTCTGGATTTTAATAAGGGAACGCACCCACCCACGAACGATCACCGTGGGGTGAGATTATAAAAATGAGTCACGTTCATTTTTATAATCTCACCCCACGGTGATCATCCATAGTATATCCCTTCCCCTTTAGTTTTCATTTAGTAAATATGGTTACAAATAATTTTTGGTTGGGCAGTTAAGAAACATCGAAATTGTTTTGTAGAAATAATAAATATAAAAGGATATCTTCTGTAAGAAAATAATAAATAAAGAACACAATTAAAAATATAGTAGTATTAATGGCATTACACATTACGTACACTATCACCTCTATCAGTAAACGACGGAGTTCTGTGGTAACAAATATAAAAAAAGCGGATTGAGAAAAAATCTTTTTTTGAAATCTGTTGTATGGGCTTGAGGTAACATGATTAATATTCCAATCCTTAGTAAAGGTTTGAAAATCTAAACTGTTAAAAGGTGGACCGTTATCAGAAACAATTATTTCTGGGATACCATGTCTTGCAAAGATTGACTTTAAATGAATAACTACATTTTTTGTATTTGAGCTTGAGCTCAGTAAAGCTAATTCTATATACTTAGAATAGTAATACACTACAAGTAGATATTTCAGGTATTTATACTGAAAAATATTTATACCTACTTTATTCCATGGCAAAAGCATAGTATTCTTATATGTAAATATGAGGGGAACTAAAACAACAAATAAATAACAAAAATAATTTCTTTTATTTTAATTTAATTTAACATACCTTTAAAAAAAATCGGCTTCGGAAGTATGGCACGGTTATTCGGTTGTTAATATTCTAGCTGGCTAGAGTCTAGCAGTAGTGCTGGCTAGGTTATACGAGTACACTAGTATAATCGACAACTCATTCAGCTAAACTAAATGGTTGTGGTGAGATTGTTGGTTTTGGAACCCACAACATCTGCATATGACTAGAATTCTCGCTATTCTAACTGCATTTTCTTACGCCGTAACTTAATACTTTTCTGAATATTTTGAAGACCTGAAAAAGAGAATATCAAAAGAGATTATTAAGGGAGAAAGTACTTTATGAATAATTTGTTATATATATATCTGTAATTTCTCTACAAAAGAGTTGTAATGGATAAATCCAGAGGGTAGAAAAAGTGCTGCGTTAGACGATGGGAGAAGTTATGGGGTCAACTCATCAACAGCCTATACTAGTCCACTGCTGGACATAGGCCTCTCCTTAGAAAGGAGGTTTTGGCCTACTATACCACGCTGGCCAGACGGGTTGGTATAGGGTTTGTTGGGGTGCTGGGCTAGGGGGTGCTGGGCTAGAAAACCTCCTCGTGGTGCACCCTGGAAACGCTGGCGATGGTACTGTTCCCTCCTTGTCCTCTTGGAGGAGAGGATTATCGCCAGCGGCCAATATTCTAGCAGAAGAGGCAGCCGTTCATCGGCTCTCGGGCAAGGCCTGGTCCAGCAGGGTGGGCGTGTCTGCCGGTTGCCCTGCTGGCTCTTCGCTCTTCGGAGCATGGAGGAGGAAACCTCGGTAAAAAACCTGATGGCGGGGCCCTGTAGGGGCCACAGTTTCTCCGCTGACAGCGGTGGAGAAAGGAGGACGGGCTCGTCGTGTACTCACACTACCACCGAGCAGGCAGGGGGACGTAGTCTCCCTGTCAACCGTCGGCATATCGTAATCCCGAGAAGAGCGCTGTGGTTAAGTCTCGCGGCTCTGATCGGGGGCGAGGGTCTTGGCTTAACCGCCCGGACCGCGAGGAAGATAACCTCTCTAAAAAATTCCCCGAATCCCGTGTTCTGGTGCGTGGCCAGGGGATGCATGGCTGATGGGAAGTTCAGTCGCGAGCGCACTCCAAGCCGAGGTACCTGCGGACCCCTCGGTTGGGTTAAAAACTTACGCTTGCCCGGGTAATGGGGGATCTCTGCCCGGGTGGACCTTTATTTCTCCCCCACTCGTGGGATCAATTATGCAATCATTAAATAAAAATACGAAGAAACGATCGGAAACAAACACAAACCAGACAAAGGCAAGCAAAACGGACACTGAAACAAAAGGTGCAAGGGAGAAGAGAAACAGTGGAGTCGATGGGTCGTCCACTGAGGGTGAGGTGGCGTCGGGAACGCCCATCTCGATGGGGCTCCCAGAAGTCAGTCTGACTCTGATCTCTGGGAGCCGAAGAGCATCGGATCGGCTGCGTTCCGGATCCGCCGCTTCGTCGGATGGCGCGGAGGCCATGGAGGCGGAACGAAGCGACAGCCGGAAACGCGGACGCTCCAGGGACGAGGAAACGGATACGTCCCAGGAGATGATGCCACCAAAGGTGGCAAGCAGCCGCCGAGGGAGGGCGCGCAAACCGGCCTC